CCATGCCCAGCTAATTTTTTATTTATTGTAGAGATGAGGTCTCACCAAGTTGCCCAGGCAGGTCTTGAACCCGCGGTCTTAGGCATTCCACTCACCTCAGCCTCCCAAAGCGCTGGATTACAGGCTGAGCCACCGAGCCTGGCTGACCAAAATCTTGACTGCCAATCTTAGAGCTTAAACCCCGTCCCATAGACGAAAAAGTGTCATGAAGGTCTTTAAGCAGATTGGTGATTGCCTCACACATCTGTCACTAAAAGCCACTAAGGCCCTCTTTTTAAACTATTGATCGTTTGTTCTAAAACTGTCAAGAATCCCCAACTTCACATCCTCCCCAGGACAAGTATCAATCACCGAATTTATTGCAAGGCTTTTGTAGTGTATTGCATTGTATTGTAATTGCATTGTATTGTATTACATTGTGGGGTGTGTGTGTGTGTGTGTGTGTGTGTGTGTGTGTGTGTGTGTGTCATCCACTAGTCTGTGAGAAGTAGAGGCTACATGTAGGTCACTTCTACACCCTCAGCACCTAGAACACACTCTGATGTGTTCAGTAAATGATTACCGAGTGGATGGATGGGTGGGTGGGTGCATGTGTGGAGGGAGGGAGGGAAAGGGGAATGGAATTCGTTCTGGAAGTGAGAAATGAACACAGGAAAACCTAGAAATGTTGGATGGAATTGACTAATGAGAAAGTTAAAATAAGGAAATCATAAATGTTGGTTAATTGCAGATGTATACAAAGATGACTCCAGTCCTCTGGGGATGTCTCCTCCTGTGGAATCTCTACATCTTGTCCTCTCAGACCATTTACCCTGGAATCAAGGCCAGGGTTACTCAGCGAGCACTGGACTATGGTGAGTTGGATGCTTTCAGAAGCCAGGCTGCAGGTCCCCTAGGTGGGATCTATGACCCAGACCCAGCAGCTCATAACTCAAGCTGTCACATAATGGAGACAAGCTCTACTACGGTGTGACCCAGTTCCTTATGCAGAGGTTGCTAAGATAGCTGGAAGTGTCACCTAAAAAATAGTCACCTTGATGGGAGGCATAGCCAAACACAGCCACAGATTCTCACTCTCTCTCCTTCCATACATATATACAATTAATATCTTGGGGTTCAAAATAAGAATGAATTTATAGGATAGAGGAAAGGAGATTTTAGAGTAAATGTAACACCTTAGAGCTTTAGAAAGGGCTTTGTCTTCAAAGGGACTTGGAATCCTCTGAAATTGTGTGCAAAATGTAATGTGAATGATTGTGCACTTTTCTTGAGAGAAGCTCCATACTATTTAGTAGATGTCTGGGACACTGAAAAGTTAGAAATCACTCCTTTAGAAGGTGTCTATAAACACCAGGAGAGAAAAGTGTTGGGACGTGATGTCCTTGAGCTGAGTTTGGATAGAAGCAGACTGTGGAGAGGAAAGAAACTACAAAAATCGTAGTCTCTGGACCCATTTTTCTCCAGGAAAATTTTTTCTTGAGATTAGCTGAACATAGATTTCCAGATCTTTTCTGGTCCTCTTTAGCTGAAGCAGTCAGCCCAACCAAGAAATACCTAACTAAGCTAGACCAACCAAGAAATACCTAACTAAGCCTAGCCAAGAAATGCTTCTCCTGCTATACCAGAAAGGAAGTAAATGAGGGAGGTAGGGAGAGAGGAAGGACTGATCTGGGGCAACTCCTTGTCTTTCCCCTAGTACCTCATCTGGCACATGGGATCTAAAATTGGTCCATGTTGCACAATTGTTATATGAACCATGATGCGGGTAGACACACATAACAGAAATATGTGTGCACGTTTGTGTGTTTCATCTTGTTACTATACTGATGTGCTGACGTGCATAGAAAAGCATATCAGAAATAGATACCTTGTAACAATACTAAAGTTGTACAAACAGTTTTCTTTCACCTTCCAGAGAAGAGCCATAAAAGGACAGATCTGAAGTCCATCCACATGGATGTGAATGTCAGTTCTGTTCCTTTCCTTGATACGTGATCTTGAGAAAATAGTTTTTTTATGTGGAAAATGGGGTGATGCAAATGGTGCCTACCTACCTGTATTGTGCTGTGAGGATCAAATAGGACTGTCTATGGCAATACACCATCGGCTGTTGGAAAAAGTCAGGCTTTGAAGTCAGAATCATTTCTTAAGCATCTCCCATGACCAGGCTCTTTGAATGTACATTCTGTACTGTATGTTAGTTTAATACCAACTACAACGCTATGAAGAAGCTGCTGTCATTTTACAGAGGTGGAATCTGAAATTTCCCAAGTCACACCCCAGTAAGGGTCTGAGGCAAGATATAAACTCAGGTCTGTTTTGCTAAATCTTGAAACCTACCTTCTTCTGCTCTCCATTCCTCCAAGACTGGATAATGCTATTGACTAGTTGTGAATTCTTGGGCAAGTTACTGAACCTCTCTGAGCCTCAGCTGCCTCCTATGTGAAATAGAGATAATGACACCTCTGTTATTGGGTTGCTGTGAGAATCCAGGGAGAGAATGTATGTGGAGTGTGTATGGTCCTGCACTCAATATACATTAGCTATTATTTTATTTATTTCATCAATGATTTATGCCCTCACATTTTCCAGAAAGAGATCTGAGGCCCCTGTTATTAGTAGCTCCTGTGAGATATTAATTAAAATTGAGATGATGCCTGGCTGCAGTGGCTCACATCTGTAATCCTGGAATTTTGAGAGGCTGAGGTAGGAAGATTGCTTGAGCCCAGGAGTTTAAGACCAGCCTGGGCAACACAGGCTGGTCTTAAAAAAAAAAAAGTCAAAAATTCCCCAGGAGTGGTGGTGTAGTCCCAGCTACTCAGGAATAAGATGTGCTCTTAGATACTTAGAAAACAGCAATCTGGTGGAAGGATCTCCTGAGCCCAGGAGGTTAAGGGTGCAGTAAGCTGTGGTCGTGCCACTGCATTCCAACCTGGGCGACAGACTGAGGCTCTTACTCAAAAAAAGAAAAAAAAAGTTCCCTATAACCAACCCATGGACTTCGGACCAGAAATTATTGAGCTCAAAGAATCTGAAAGAAATGAAGAATGTGGAATAACTTTCTGAAGCTGGCCATAGGACACAGATTCTGGAGCCAAAGTGACTGAATTTGACTACTGTGCTGGCTCCCCAGGTCTTGGCTGTATGAGTTGGGCAAGGATTGACTCTCCAAGCCTTAATTTCCTTATCTGTAAAATGTGCATGATAATAATAGTAGTATACTTGGAAGACTACTTTGTACTTTTCCTTACAACGTCCTGTGATAAAATCTTTAGTCCTGTGATAAAATTCTTGAGCCCTACGTAATGAAAGTTTCTCATGTTAGCTCTGTGGTCTTGGGCAATTTCCTTAGCCTCTCTGAGGACTAGTGTTTTCATCTGTAAAGCAGGGACAATAATTCCCACTTTGTAAGATTGCTGTTTTCTAAGTATCTAAGAGGACAGCTTATTCCATAAATGGCATTTGTGTAATTAATGATATTCCATAATTATCATCTTTGCTGTTATCAACAGATACTTCCTTGTTTCCCCTTACAGGTGTTCAAGCTGGGATGGAGATGATTGAGCAAATGGTAAAGGAAAAGAAGATCCCAGACTTAAATGGTTCTGAATCTCTTGAATTTCTAAAGGTGGATTACGTGAACTATAATTTTTCAAAGTAAGTACAAGAGAAGAGCATTTGTCTCCCACATAAGAAGCTCAGAGGAAACAGTGGAGGAACCCCATGGAAGCCCCATAATTTCATCAGAATCCAGTCTCCTTTTCTTCTGCTTCACCATTCTTAGCTGTGGTTTCTGACCCAGTTTGCCTTATGACCCAATATGGCCACTCCAGTTATGGTCATCAAATCCATGTTCCAGACAGCTGGAAGGAGGAAAAGGCAAGATAAAAGAGCTCTTAGAAGCTAAGCCAGTCTCTGCTTTTAATGAGTTTTTTCTGAAGCTCTCCTCTAGTAACTTCTGCCTATATAACAATTGCCATAACTGGCCAGGTATGGTGGCTCACGCCTATAATCCCAGCACTTTGGGAGGCCAAGCTGAATGGAAATTTCCCAGAAGTTCGAGCTCAGAAGTTCGAGACCAGCCCGAGCAACATAATGAGACTTGTCTCTACAAAAACTCCAAAAATAAACTGGATGTGGATGCACATACCTGTAGTCCCAGCTACTTGAGAGGCTGGGGAAGAAGGATTGCATAAGCCCAGAAGGTTGAGGCTGCCATGTGCCATAATCGTGCCACTGCGTTTCAGCCTGGGCAACAGAGTAAGACTCTGACTCAAACAAACAAACAAACAATTGTCAGAATTTAGTCATATGGCCACATTTATTAGCAAAGGATTCTGGAAGACTGGCTTTCTAGACAACCTTGTCATCTCCAACAAATTTAGGGATGTTTAGGAAAGAAGAGGAAGTAGATGTTTAGGCAACAACTGACAACCTTTGTCAGAGTCTTCAACAAGAGCCCCAACAGCAGTATAGGAAGAGGATGCCTTTGTCCATTTTGAGCTCAGTCTTAAAGACTAAAGGAGAGTTAGGCTGTTATAGGGAATTCTCTTGGACTGTGATTCACAATTTGGCCAACCCTTCAACCACCCGGTGATAATTCCCCACTACTCCAGTTCCTTGGAGTAATAATTTCCCTGCTGTCAATGATAATATTCTATAAAACCAAAAGGTTTTTGGGAGGAGGAAGAGAGATAGTTATGTAGTGAAGGTTCCTGGATTATTCCCTACTCTATGTAAAGTCAGTCATTCAACAAGTATTTATTGAGCACCTACTGCTTACCAGGCTTTGTTCTAGATATAGAGGCTATTATAGTGAACAACATACCTGCCCTTAATGTACAGTGCAGGAGATGGACATTAAATATATATTTACAAAACTAATTATTTAATTACAATGATAATGCTACAACAGAAAATTGTAGAGAGAATCATGAAATATCATGTGCAGGTGAAGATGAGGAGAAACAGGTATTCTTGTGCATTGCTGGTGGGAGTAGATGAAATGATACAATAGTTTTAAACCCATGCTGTCCCAATAGTAGCCAATAGTCACATGTGGCTACTGAGCACTTGAAATATGACTAGTGCAACTGAAGAACTGTATTTTTTATTTATTCAATTTTGACTAATTTTAATTTTAAAACTGATAGTTCGATTATGGAAAAACTTTCAAGTGTGTTTGGAACAATTTTGTAAATTTACCTTTTCTGCTGAAAATTTCATCAAATCTAAATGTGGATTAAGTATCTTTTGTCCAAAATGCTTGGGACCAGATGTATTTAGGATTTTGGAATATTTGCAATATATTTACTTTTCTAATCTGAAATTGGAAATGCTCTAAGTAGCATTTCCTTGAAACACTATGTCAAAACTCAAAACGTTTTGGATTTGGGATGCTCAACTGGTACAGGTCAGGTATTTCTGATGAAACCCAGTGTTCAAACTGAGGTATATCATTAGTGTAAAATACATACCATATTTTGAAAACATGAAAAAAAAAAACCTCATTAAGAATTTTCATATTGGTTACATGTTGATATGATAATATTTTGGATATATTGTTTTAAGTAAAAATATTATGAAAGTGAATTTCACCTCTGTTTTCCCTTTTTTAAATGTGATTATTAGAAAATTTTAAATTACAGCCATGCATTGCTTCACAATGGGGAGATGTTCTGAGAAGTGCACTCTTAGATGATTTCATTATTGTGTGAACATCTTAGAGTGCATTTACATACATCTAGGTGGTCTAACCTACGACACCCTAGGCTATCTGGTATAGCCTACTGCTCCTTGACTACAAACCTGAACAGCATGTGACTTTACTGAATACTGCAGGCAGTTGTAACAGAATGGGAAGTATTTGTGAATCTAAATATATCTAAACAGAAAAGGAAGAGTAAAAATACAATATTATAATCTTATAGACTACCATTGGGCATGCCATTCACTGTTGACCAAAATGTCATTATGTAGCACATGACTACATATATATGTCTCACATTATATTTCTATTGGAAGATGCTATTTTTAGAAGGTGGTTTATAAATATATGCACACATACATGTCCTTTGACTTAATCCCACTTCTCAACATCCTTCCTAGAGAAACGTATACACAAAAGTAGTATGTATGAGATATTCACTGTGACATTGTTTATAACAGCAGTCCCCAAACTTTTTGGCATCAGGAACTGGTTTCGTGGAAGACAATTTGTCCATGGACCAGGAGTGGGACAGGTGGGATGTGCAGTCAAACCTTACTGTTAATGTTAATCTGTATTTGCAGCCACTCCCCAATGCTAACATCACCTCCTCGGCTCCACCTCAGATCATCAGGCATTAGATTCTCATAAGGAACGTGCAACCTAGGTCCCTCACATGTACAGTTCACAATAGGGTTCACGCTCCTATGAGAATCTAATGCCACCACTGATCTGACAGAATTTGGAGTTCAGGTGGTAATGCAAGCAGTGGGAAGCAGCTGCAAGTACAGATGAAGCTCCACTTGCTTCCCTGCCACCCACCTCCTGCTGTGCGGTCCCGTTCCTAACAGGCCATGGACTGGTACCAAAATTTGAGTGGTACCAGTCCATGGCCTGGGGATTGGAGACCCCTGGTTTATAATACAGAAGTACTGGAAACAACCCAGATGACCACCAACAAAGGAATGATTTTTTTTAATAGGTACATCCACAGCTTGGAATGCTCTGCAGTAGTTATAAAGAATTTGTTAGACCTACATGTATCGAAATGGTAATATTTCTAAGACATTAAATGAATCTCTGCCATTATCCTCCCACAGTAGGACTCAGGATGGTGTGACAGAGAATAGGTAGAAAAGGGTGCATAGACAAGGAAATGGCAAATAATTGTTTCTTATCAGCTGTCATATTTATGTTTTACTATTTTCCTAATCTTAGTTTGTAACAATGCCTTTCTCCTGTGTGGCAATTACACATAGATGAACTCATTATGGCTACCTGTGAGTAGCACTTCTTTTGAGTGATTTCCTGGAAGAGATTAAGTGCCCTGCCCAAGGTTGCACAGCTAGTATTAAACTTGGCTGCAAATCCAGTGCTCTTTGCACAATACGTGAGGTGGCATAGCCTCGTGGTTAAGAGCACAGTCTGAAGCCAGACTGAGAAGGGTTCCAGGTCTAGTTCTACTGCTTATATGACTTCAGCCACCTTTCTTATCTTCTCATCTCTGAAATGGAGATTGTGAAAAACAGCAACTACCTCATGGGATTACCATGAGGGTTAAAATAAGCTAATGTATGTAAAGTGCTTACTATGGACCCTGACAGATAGTAATCACTCAATGAATGTTTGTAATAATTTATCATAATGCATGTGGCCATCTACCTATGGAGATTACATGCAACCCCCTGCTTCCTAGTTACCTGTTTGACAGCCTAGAGAATCCTAGGGAAATCCTAGTTGACTCTATAAAAATCTTCTCAACCAGTGAAAATAATGTCCGCATAGAGAGCATTTGGAAACAAGAAGAAGGCATGTTTCTGGTTGTCCCAGTGATAGGTGGGAGGGACACTTCTGGCATATGTGCCAAATGTCCTGCAATGTGTACGACAGTCCTCTACAAAAGTAGCTGTTCCATCTAAAATACTAACATCACACACTTTAAGAAACACCGAAACTGCTGAAGAAAAAATAATAATAGCAATGTTGTACCTGTTTTTGTCTCTAAATAAACTAAAAGGGTAGATTATTTGATTATTTACAAATATAAGCTTGTTCACCTCCCCTCTCAACTAGATACAAGGGACTTCTTGCTAAGAATTTGAGTGGAATTAAGAGATAGTTAATATGTCTGTTGGCGCTTGTATGTCTTATTTTCATGTGAAGTGTCTATTCATGCCTTTTGCCCACTTTTCAATGGGGCTGTTTGTTTTTTTCTTTTCGGCATGTTTGAGTTTCTTGTAGATTCTGGATATTAGGCCTTTATCAGATATGAAGTTGGCAAATATTTTTTTCCATTCTGTGGGCTGTCTCCCCGCTCTCTTGATGGTTTCTTTGGCTTTGCAGAAGCTTTTCAGTTTGATGAGGTCCCACTTGTCAATCTTATCTCTTATGGTATGGGCTTTTGGGCTTTTGATGAGGAATTGGTTGCCTATTCTGATTTCTGTAAGGGTGTCTCCTGCATTTTCTAAGATTCTTAACATTCAAGGTTTTACATTTAGGTCTTTGATCCATTTGGAGTTGATTTTTGTGTATGGTGATAGGTAGGGGTCCCATTTCCTTCTTCTGCACTTGGTCAGCCAGTTTTCCCAGCACCATTTACTGAATAAGTTCTCCTCTCCCCAGTGACTGTTATTGAATCATCAGAGAAATGCAAATCAAAATCACATTGAGATACCACCTAACTTCAGTAAGAATGGCCATCATTAATCAAACAAAAAACAGTAGATGCTAGCAAGGATGTAGAGAAAAGGGAACACTTCTACACTGTTGATGGGAATGCAAACTAGTTCAACCTCTACGGAAAACAGTGTGGTGATTCCTAAAAGAACTAGAAATTGACCTTCCATACAACTCAGCAATTCCCCTTCTGGGAATATACCTGGAGGAAATTAAATCACCCTACAAAAACGATACCTGCACACGCATGTTTATTGCAGCACTATTCACAATAGCAAAAACATGGAACCAACCATGCTGCCCATCAAAACTGGACTGTATTTTTTTTTTTTTTTTTGAGTTGGAGTTTCACTCTGTCGCCCAGACTGGAGTGCAGTGGCCACTCCCGGCCACCGCAGCCTCGACCCACTGGGCTCTGGCGATCCTTCTGCCTCAGCCTTCCGAGTAGCCGGAATTACAGGCGTGTGCTACCATGCCCGGCTCATTTTTTATTTATTGCAGAGATGAGGTCATGCCAAGTTGCCCACGCAGGTCTCGAACCCGCGGGCTCAGGCAATCCACTCACCTCAGCCTCCCAAAGGCGTGGGATTACAGGCTGAGCCACTGAGCCCGGCTATTTTTTTAAATGTGGTACATATACATGATGGGATATTACACAGCCATAAAGGACAAAATTATGGACTTCACAGCAACTTGGATGGATTTAGAGTCTATCATATTCAGTGATCTATCACAGAAACAAAGAACTGAGTACCACATGTTCTCACTCACAAGTGAATCCTGAACATTTACCATAATACAATGAGAAAGGGATTGGCAGTAGCAGGACACATAACTGCCAGGGGAGGGAAGGGGGGCACATAACATCAATAAGCATATCTGATATCAAACCAGGTGAACTGGGGACCAAAAGGAGGCCCAAACTTTACCTGTACAATGACCTCTTGTATACCTAAATCCGAAATATACCCCACATTTTTAAAATAAAATTTTTTTTAATTCCAGTAAAGCAAACTTAAAAGGAGTCTATGTGGCTAATCACAATTCTTGCTGCACTAACAAAGAATCAAACCAAGTTTGATAAGAGTAAACTTATTTTGCAATCTAATTAGTCTTACTCTGGTTATCTTTGGTAGACATGAGGATTACAGAAGAGATAAAAATTATGTTTCAGGATAAAAACTATGGTACACCTGTCATTAGACTGTAGCTCTAATCATTGTTTTCAAGTTGCTATTATATAACTGTATACCATACTTGATTTTAAATTCTAATTTTCTGCAATATCTAGCTACAACTCTCCCAGTAAGAACAATAATTGCTCAGTTTCTCAAGCACTGTCTCTCGTTGGAAAACTCAATATAAATATCAAAGGACCAAAAAAAAAAAAAAAATGTGCCCAGAGACCACACTGCAGATGGGAGTTTCCTTTCTCTGTGGGAATTCACAGTTGCCTTGGCAACAACAGTTCTACAACTGCTTATGATTTTACTTAAGTGATATGCCAGAAGGGTTGCCCTAACTCTTCTGTTTCTTCTTTTACAGCATAAAAATCAATGCCTTTTCGTTTCCAAATACCTCACTAGCCTTTGTGCCCGGGGTTGGAATCAAAGTACTGACCAATCATGGCACTGCCAACATCAGCACAGACTGGAAAATCAAGTCTCCACTTTTGTGAGTATTCTACTGAAATGTCGGCTGCTGTTCCGGGGTGGGGTGTGGGGGACGGGGAAGTGGAGCAAAAATGGGAAGTGGGAAATGTGCTGATGTTGTTGACATTAGGCTTCTTTCCCTCAGTATTAAGAATCTTTCTCAAAAGCATATTTTTTCCAGGTGAGATTTAAATAAGGAAATCCCTGCCTGGGGAAAGGGGACTGAAAAATAACCTTCCTTAAAGGCAGAGCAACTGATCAGATGTCATGTACGATTTCCTAAGAACTGAGAGTCCCTAGCGGTAGGAGAAACAGACATGTGCTCACCAGTTTAGATCTACCAACAAATCACAATCTTGAGCTAGTCATTCAATGCACTTCCTCGTCTGCAGGGGCAACTGATGGGCAGCCTTACACAGGGTTTGGAGGGTGGTAGTCAACTTGATCCCAATTCTCCCCCAACCAAAAGGCCTTTGCACTCTTATGTAGAAGAAAGGGGTCAAATTCAAAGTATATTTATCTACCTAGCATGTGCAAGTCACTGTCCTGGGTGTGATGTTTAGGTCTACCTTGTCAATGCTCCATAATAACACATGGTCACTCAACAGGCATTTATTGAGTGCCTGCTGTATACTATTTAGCCCCATCTCAATAACTTCAGTCTTGTAGATTTAGGGACAGGGCATGTTCTCCCATAAACAATGTTGATTCATGTATTCATTTATGTATACAGTGGCTCATCAACCATATATTGAGTACTTATTCTGTGTCAGGCCATGTGCTGAGTCCTGGGGACATGGAGGTGAACATGGTCTACTCCCTCAAGGAGCTCACCGAATATATCTAAGTGCCACTTTGTCATCTATGCCCCTGCCAACTTTGCCCCTGCTGCTCTCTTCCCTAACAAACATTGTATATGAATGGTGCTCAATACACCCTCACTACCAGGGCCAGAGCACTCAGGATGAAATTATTCAATATCCCAAAAGCTGTTATCACACTCACATATTCAGTACTTAATTTGTTCAGTAAATATTCATTCGGCATCCACTCTGCTCCTACCTGCTGTCAGTGTCAGGAGTCCAGAGGTGAACATGACAAAGTCCCTGCCCTCCAGGAGCTTAGAGTCTTTCCTTGCCCAGGCTTGGGTAACCTTGCACTTTTCCTCTAAACAGCCAAGACACAGGAGGAGCTGATCTGTTTCTTTCCGGGGTCTTCTTTACCGGTATTGTTATCCTGACCCGAAATGACTTTGGTCATCCAACCCTGAAGCTCCAAGACTGCTATGCCCAAGTGAGCCACGCCCACGTCTCCTTTTCTGGAGAACTCAGGTGAGCAAGAGCACCAGGTTGGGCAATGACTAGCCTGGGGCTAGATCTGTGGACAGCACCTAGGGGAGATTTATACCTGACAGATTATGGTCCCTGATAAGTTCTTTTTTCTTTTTTTCCTAGTGTCCTGTATAATTCTTTTGCTGAGCCCATGGAAAAACCCATTTTAAAGAACGTAAATGAAATGGTAAGCCTCTAGAAGTTAGACAACCACAGTACAATGCCATCAGCAACAGTTCTACCACTCTTTAATTACTATGCAATAAACCTTTATTGAGCGCCTATTGTGTGCTAGACACTATCCAAGATATGTTCACACACAGCAAGTATCCTTTGCAATTTAACCGTTTCTCAAATCCCTTCTATGTGCCAAACATGGTGGTGGTTGCTGAGGATACAGAGATAAATAAAACAATAGCCCCTTCCTCAAGTTTCTCACCATGGGGGTGGGCAAATAATCAACAAGAATGTATTATGAACCTATTGCATACCCAGCGCTGGATTAGATTCTGCTGGAGATATGAAAGAGGAATAAACTTATTTAGAAAAACCAGCTCAGGCTTATGAACTAATAACTAACTGAGTTCTTGAACTTAATACATAGTTACATGATTATTAGATTAAACTGAAGAGGTTCAGAGAGATGGGAAAATTAAAGAAGTAGAGCTTGAATTTGCTCTGGGAGATATTTTTTAGAGGAATCAGAACTTGAACTGGGCTTGAAATATGGGTAGGATTTGGATAGGTAAGAAATGGGGAAGAAAAAAGAAAATAGGAAACAGGAAAAGAAAGAAGCAAGAAATAAGAAAACAGGAGCTAAAATAAAATGCCTTCCAAAGCTGTAAGTATCCCAATCCCAGAAGTTAGTGTTTGAGGGCACGAAAGATGGAATTGGCTGTGTACTATCTTTCCAGTTCTGACCACCTCTTCCCTGAACACTTTACCCATGTTTTTCGGGGGAAAAAAGACAGGGATGAGGATGAGGAGACTGGAAAAGAAGGAAGACTCTTCTAGAAAAGAAGAGACAAGGACATCTATTGCCACCTCTCTAGTGTTCAGTTCAGTGCTTAGCAGACAGTAGGTGCTTAACGAAGGTCAGTGAAGAAATCAACACTCAAAAGCATCAAGCAGCTTGTCCAAGGGGGTGACACAACTGGCTGGGGACGCTGAAACATCACGGTCCTCCTCCCTCCTTACTCGATAGGTACTGTGTGCCAGCAAATGTGCACATTAAAGAGTGCCTGAGAAAGTGCACTGTCACCCTCAGAGAACCCAGACTTGGTTATTCTGTCTGAAATGAGGCCTGGTCCTTTGGCCTCTGACAGGAGGCCAGTGCAGAATGAATTATGCCATAGGATCCAATAGTTGAGTTTGCCTAGAGTTTATATACAGCTTAGAGATCACAGATGCTTTGCTTCTATGCTTTTGCATTCTCTCTATGCTGCTGGAAGATAGAAAGAATGCCAAGACCACAGCTGTCTAGTTGTGTCAGGTCAGATTTCAGATCCCAGCTCCTAGCAACACTCTTAACCTAAGTTTTGGTTTTCCCATCTGTAAATAAGGACAGTAGTACTTATCTCTCAAGGCTGCAGTGAGGATGAAATGGAGTTGAAACAACAGCAGCTAACATTCACCAAATGCTTACTGTGAACTGGGCAATTTTGTGTGGACTCCCCAGTTTCTATTCACAATAATGTGATAAGGTAGATACAGCAATTCCCATGTTACAGATGAGGAAACTGAAGACAGAGAGTACAAGTAACTTGTCAAAGGATTCAGGTCACTGAGCCTCTACTATAAGCACAATACAGAACACATCAACGAGCACTCAACAAGCACAGTGTTGGTACCTGTGCTTCTTCTTAATGATTAGTCTGGTTGAAGACTAATTTTATCTTGCTGTTGTTGTTGTAGATACAAGGTCTTACTATGTTGCCCAGTCTGGTCTTGAACTCCTGGGCTCAAGTGATTCTCCTGCCTCGGCCTCCCAAAGTGCTAGGATTATAGGTATGAGCCACCACCGCTCCTGGCCAAAAGACTAACTTTCTAATTCCAAAAAGGGGGAAACAAAATACATCTCTCAATAAAATCTGTGATCTAATGAGCTCTCAATCTAGCCAGGTTCTCCAGCCCTAACCACTCCAGGCAGGGCACGGAGCTGTGGCCAGAGGAGATGGGAGGTGGGTGGTACCCAGTAGTCATGAAAGACACAGCAGCTCCAGCAGCAGGTTCCTCAGGTGTGACAGCAACAGCATGGCTGGGGCACATGCCCAAGCATGTCACAGAGAGGAAAGCCAAGGGCTCACTCTTTGATGGGGTGACTGGGTGTAGTCCCAGTTGCTGTGAAGTTGAGTCAGCATTCAATAACACATATGTTATTGAGGCCTATGGCATCACTGATGTAAGGAGAAGTCTCAGTGACCAAAGAAGTCACATCTCCTAACCAGAAAGTCTTTGTTGGCAGGGTCTAGGTTCATCGATGAAGTTTTCTGGTACAACATGATAACTTGCATTTTCTTTTTTTTTCAATTCCTTTGTGGCCAGCTCTGCCCCACTATCATAGGTGAAGTTGAAGCGCTAAATGCCAATCTCAGCACATTGGAAGGTGAGTCCTAGAACTGTCCCTTCCAGATGATTCTCTTCCCACCTCTAAATGCTGGTGCTCTTGTGTTTGCTTTTCAAGGCAGTATGGTTCCAGCTCCCCCTCCCACTTCCTGCTCCACAAGTTAGAGCTCCAGGAGGGTGCGCAGGAGGACTCCCTGTGCATAGGGCATGCACTCTTGCGCTAATAGCTAACTTTACTGCCACAAGAGGGGTAGCTCCGGGTGCCAAGAGGCAGGTCCAGGAATTAAACCCTCACGAGCACTAACCCTAGCTTTGGTACTACATCCATTCCCTTTGGATTAACTAACACGAATCCTGGTCAGGTTTTTCTTGGGTTCTTACCCTTACAGTGACTGCTTTCAGCATCAAGCCCAAGCACCTCAGCATGGACTCCCAAACTCACCATGCCTGGCTCCTACTTACCTCTCTCTGCTTCATCTTGAGCCTTTATCTGCCCCAGCAGTCAAACTGATTCCACTGCCCCTTGCGCCTTGCCTCTGCTCTTGCCATCCTCTCTGCTGGGAAGAGCTTCCTCTCCCCTTCATCCATTCATTCCTTAACAGATATGTACTGAGTACCCATTTCTGTGCCAGCACTGCACTAGATCCTGCAGGATTCAATCCCTTCCACTCTCCACTCCTCAAATCCCCTTGTCATGTTTACTTTTCTTTATGTTAAAAACTCAGCTCAGGCATAGCCTCTTCCAAGAAATCTTACCGACAGCCTCCACCCCACAAACTTACACCTTTGTGTTCACATGATACTTTGGATGTCTCTCTCTTTGCCCTCCATCATCCATTCATTCACCAATGGTGTGCTGAGCACCTGAAATAGGTTGGGCACTGTTCCTGGTGCCAGGGATGCAGCAGTAAGCCCTGGAGACAGACATCCCTACCTTCATGGGACCAGTGGGAGGAAACAGACAGCAAGAGAAATAAATAGCATTTGTGTTACAACAGTGCTAAGTGACAAAGAGAAAAATCAAGCTGGAGAGGGATCCCTTTTAGACAGTGTGGCCAGGAAAGGGTGCCACTGAGCAGGTGCCTCAAGAGAACCTAAAGGGAGTAGGGAGCCGCCATAACTTCTGGATCCTGCATGGCTGCAAGAACCTCTGGATCACTAAGAATTTCTTTAAGTCCAGACATTCCTGCCATTCCAAGCATGCCCCCTCCAATTCCAGGCATTCCTCCAGGAAAACTGTCTGGAAAAGAGCCATCCTGAGCTCCTGATTGTCTGACTTCTTCCTCCCTCTGGGCTCTCTGGTGTTCTTCCAGAGCCTTCTTAACCCTTTTTAGTCTTTCTCTGATCTTTCACTTTTTACATTTTCGTTCATACTTTCTCCGATGTTCTGCGATTTTCTGGGCCCTAGGTTGAACTTCTTTCAGTATTGCACTAGCATCTTCGTCATAATTCAGTTTACAAGCAAGGGCAAGTCCTGGACTGCTTCTTCCCAATGGCACAGAAGTCTGTGCACTTTCCCTAACCACTTGTAAAGCTGGGTTGAATTGGGATTCGCCTCAATGTCTCCATCACAGTCTTGGATGGCAGCATTTGACTTCTGAAATTTGATGAAATCAGTGGCTCTCATGGCCAAACAAAGACTCAGCTTGATGACATTGTGAAGAAGTCCATGGCTTTCTGTCGCTCACCATCATTCAGAGCTTCAGTGGCAGCCACTTTCTTCTCATTGGCCTCATCCATCATCTCCTCTGTCATCTTTGCATTTTCATCTTCCATTTCCTGAAGGACATCAGTGCCTGGCTCAATCACACCCCCATTATCCATTTCTAGATCACTTTCCTCACTTGGTGGGTCATCTGTCTTCATGTTTTCCACTGCCTTCTTACTATCTTGATACTTCCTTGACACTGTCTTCTGATTTTGCTTCTGGGTAGCAAATGGTACTTTACCTCCCATGTTCCCCATCCACTCCCTAAGAAAGCATTTCCTTGGTGTGCAGAATGCTCAGGTCCTGCTTACACATTTTCACGAAGGCCTGAAGCTCACCAACTTTGCAGGGGTCCATGGTCAGGAGATGAGTGCGAAGGTGAGGAGGCTGTGACCAATCCCAAGTCCAGGCACTGGCTCAGTGTGACCTCGTAGAAGGGGGTGGCTACCATGAGTCAAAACAGACTAGATCCTCCCTGGTCGCTGGCTCCGCCCCCCAACCCGAAAGAGTTTTTTTGTTGTTATTGTTTTATTTGTAGTTGAAGTCTCACTCTGTCACCCAGGCTGGAGTGCAGTGGCACACTCATGGCCACTGTAGCCTCGACCTCCTGGGCTCAGGTGATCCTTCTGCCTCAGCCTTCCAAGTAGCTGGAACTACAGGCATGTGCCACCATGCCCAGCTAATTTTTTTATTTTATTGTAGAGATGAGGTCTCACCAATTTGACCAGGGCGGTCTCGAACCCGTGGACTCAGTAATCCTCTCACCTCAGCCTCCCAAAGTGCTGGAATTATAGGCGTGAGCCACTGTGCCCGGCCCTGAAAGTATTTTTAAAACGATAGTGACATAGGATAATATGGTCCCTTATCTCAGCTAGCCACTTCATCTCTTCTTGCTTGTCATCTTCATCTATGGAATAAACCAAATATGACATGATAAAAGAGAAGATGTGATATTCAGGTCCCTTCCTTTAGAACAGGGAGGAAGTCTTCATGCCATAGAACACATGACGGTGGTCAGGAAAGCAGCTCTTGCTGAGCCACGTGGGAAACCTGAGTGCAGCATCACTGCATGTACAACCTGTTTCAGACACTGGTATCTGTGCTTTCCAGAACTTCACCTACCACTATCCCCCCAGTCCCCTTGCCTTCAGCTTTGTTCAGGAAATAATAGCTAGGCTCAGTGGTGGGCACCGTAGTCTCAGCTACTTGGGAGGCTGAGGCAAGAGCTACAGGCCAGCCTGAGCAACATAGTGAGACCCCATTTCTAAAAAATAAATTACTTGAATTAGTAGCACTATTAGTGAGACTTTTTTTGACTTCTTCAATTTAGTGGATTTCATTTTCTTTCTCACAATCTATTTTTTTAAATATTTCTTTTTTAAAAATTTTAGTCACTTTAAGGGACATAAATAGTTTTTGGTTACATGGATGCATTGTATAGCAGCAAAGAAGTTTGGGCTTTAAGTGCACCCACCACCCCCACCTGTGCACACTGCACCTGACAGGTGATTTTTCACCCCTTCACCCTTTCCTGCCTCCCCCTTCTGAGTCTACAGTGTCTGTGATGCCATTCTCTATGTCTCTGCAGATCCTGAGTTTAGCCTCCACTTATAAGTGAGAGCATGTGGTGTTTGGTTTTCTGTTCCTGCATTAGTTCACTTAGAAAGATATTCTCCAGTTCCATCCAGGTTGCTGCAAATGACATTATTTCATTCTTTCTGATGACTGAACAGTATTCCATAGTGCATATATACCGTATTTTCATTATCTGCTGATCCGTTGATGGGCAACAGATCAATTTAGGTTGATTCCACATCTTCGCAATTGTGAATTTTGCTGCAATAAGCCTATGAGTGCAGATGTCTTTTTATATAAAAACCTCTGATCTTTTGGGCATATACCTAGTAATGGAATTGCTGGATCCAATGGTAGATCTACTTTTAGTTCTTTGAGAAATTCTCCATACTGATTTTCATAGAGGTTATACTAATTCGCACTTCCACCAACAGTGTGTAAGCATTCTATTTTCACTGCATCTGTACCAACATCTATTGTTTTGCTTTTTTAAATTTTTTAATAATGACCATTCTGGCTGGGGTAAAGTGGTCTCTCGTTGTAGTTTTAATTTGCATTTCCCAAATGATGAGTGATGTTGAGCATTCTTTCATGTTTGTTGGCCCTTTGAGTATCTTCTTTTGGGAGATGTCTGTTCACATAATTTGACACTTTTTATGGTTTCATTTGCTTTTTTCTTGCTGATTTGTTTGAGTTCTTTGTAGATTCTGGATATTAGTCCTTTATCAGATGTGCAGTTTGTGAATATCTTCTCCCATTATGTAGGTTGCCTGTTTACTTTGTTGATTATTTATTTTGCTGTGCAGAAGCTTTATAGTTTAATAAGTCCCACTTATTTATTTTTGTTTATGTTGCATTTGCTTTGGGGTTTTAGCCAAAAAGTCTTTGCCTAGGCCAATGTCCAGAAGACTTTTTCCTGGGTTTTCTTCTAGGATTTTTAAGCTTTCAGGCCTGGCATTTAGTTCTTTAATCCACCTTGAGTTGATTTTTTTATATGGTGAGAGATAGGGATCAGGTTTCATTTTTCTGCATGTAGCTATCTAACTTTCCCAACATCATTTGTTGAATAAGGTGTACTTTCCCTAGCTTGTGTTTTTGTCTAATTTGTTGAAGATCACTTGGTTGTAGTTATTTGTGTTTATTTCTGAATTCTCTATTATATTCCATTGGTCCACATGTCTGCTCTTGTACCAGTACCATGCTGTTTTGGTGCCTTGTAGTTTAATTCGAAGTCTGGCAATGTGATGTCTCCAGCTTTGTTCTTTTTGCTTAGGATTACTTTGGCTATTCTGGCTCTTTTTTTTGGCTCCATATGAATTTTAAGATTATATTTTTCTAATTCTGTGAAATATGACATTGGTAGTTTAATAGGGGTTGTGTTGAATCTGTAGGCTACTTTGGATAATATGGTCATTTTAATGCTGTTGATTCTTCCAATCCATGAGCATGGAATATTTTCCCATTTGTTTGTGTCCTCTACAATTTGTTTCATCAGGGTTTTGTAGTTCTTCTTATAGAAATCTTTCACCTCCTTGGTAAAATATATTCCTAGGTATTTTAACTTTTTATCTGCTATTATAAATGGAACTGAGTTATTGATTTTATTCTCAATGTGGTCACTATTGGTACATAGCAGTGCTGGTGATTTGTGTGTGTTGAGTTTTCATTGTAAAACTTTAATAAATTCATGTATCAAGTCCAGGAGTCTTTTGAAGGAGTCTTTAGGATTCTTTAAGTATAGGACCATATCATCAGCA